GCAGAATTAAAAAAAAGTGGTTTTAGCCCCGTTGACTTGCATTCATTTTTTCGTTCTTCCAGGGACCCGTGGTGTGGAAGTAGGTGGGTGTGACTTAGGCTCCCTATATGCTAATGGATTGCTTGCTAATTGGTTGGTTTAAACCAGAAGACCTCAGACACTGGAGACTTTAGATTGGGGGTGATTCAAACTCGGGCCAAGATGGCGTTGGTGTAACATCTTAATTTCTGAGCTCCACTGACCAACTACTTTTTGATGAACTCGGTTGACTGAAGTTTTTCCAAAGTGTCCAAGAAAACAACTTAGTTGACAGCTTTAAGGTATTTGACTATTTTTGTTAAATAAAATCTTACGTTTGTGCTTTTTTCTCTCTCTTTTTTTTCAACGTGAAAATCTACTCCGTCGACCCACGCTTGCTCCCTCGTGGCTGAAAATGGAAGATAGAGGTAATATTCGGGATGTGAGGCACACATATGCCAGAAAATGCTTGGAACCATCTCTCTCTCAGAATGAACCAGCTCTTACTCCACTCCCCGAAACTCCAGACAACCGTCCGACTAAAAAGTCAAAACCAAATCTCAAAACCCTCGAAGCTCCGCCAGATATGATGTCTGTGATGTTACGTATTGAAAAGATGCAAGAGGAAAGCCTTGGCAGATTGGTGCACGTGGAGTCAGCTGTTAAAGAGAACAGCATTTCTGCCAAAAGTTTGGTTAATGCTATGTAATCTTTGGCCAGAAATCTCAGTAATCTAGCGGAAAAGGTGAAATCTATTGACTTAAAAGTTGCTGCTTTGGAAAAGGAGAATGCTATCCTCCGTGGAAAGTTTGAAGAAGTTGATACATATAAAAGGAGATGGAATCTCAAGAGTGGCTGGAGTGGAGGAGCGCAGCGGTGAGAATGTGAAGCAGCTAATTATTGACCTCTTCAGTAAAGTTTCCCCGGATATAGCAGACAAGCTTCCTATGTCTGTTGACGTCATGCACAGATTGGGTCCACGGTCAGATAAAGATAAATCTTCTCGTCGCATCATCGTATAGTTCATCTCTCGATCACACCGAGACATAATCTGGAGGGATGCTCGAAATGCTGCTGTGCTCAAGCAGAAGAAAGTCCGGATTTTAGAAGACCTATCTCAGAGTGTGAAGGAAGCGAGGAACAAACTGTGGCCCCTGGTGGAGCGAGCGAGGAAAGATGGAAAAAGTGCAGGCTTCAGAGGAGCCTTTGCCATTATTGATGGCAAGAGAGTATCTGTTAATAACATGTGAGTTTCGTTTTGAAGGTTGGATACTTTGCTGTCTCTTATTTTAAATTATTTTGAAATGGATCTAAGGAACAAAAAATATTAGAAAAATAAAAAAAAAGAGGACAAAAAATAAAATAAAATTGATGTTCTACTTCAGTACTCTTGTCATTTTTTTCAACGGCGCTCAATCTTTTTTTTCTGTCACTGTTTTGGAAGAATTCTGGGTGTTTTAAGTAAATTTCTTCTACACTCCTTTTTCTTAATTCTATTGTTGTTGCTTTTTCATGTCTTTGTTTTTGTTCTCAGTTAATGTTCGGGGCCTTAGAAATAATGTTAAAAGGAAAGCTCTGTTCTTGTTTACAAAGAAGCACAAATTTGACTTTATTTCTTACAGGAATGCCACTCTCTCAACTCTGATGTTAACTTTTGGAAATCTCAGTGGGGAAATAATGTATGGTTTACTCATGGTTCGGATCGATCAGCTGGTGTTGGAATCCTTAAAAATAGATTTTATGGGGATGTTTTAAATGCTGACCTTGATTCTTTAGGCCATTACTGTTTACTTGTTGTTTCAGTTAATCGGACCACCTTGCTACTTATTAATATATATGAAGAATATAATTCTTACTGTGAATCTACAACTTTTCTTCAGGCTTTGGAATCCAAAATATTGTATTGGCTTCAGAAATATCCAACAGCTGGAATTATCTTAGGAGGAGACTTTAATTTGACAGTAAATAAAAGAATAGACAGATGGCCACCTAAAAACACGCCATCTCCTCACCCTTGTCTACTGGTCCTTATGGATAAATTTAATCTTGTGGATATGTGGCGAAAACAAAACCCTGAATCTTGTGTGTATACATGGTCAAATAAAGACTGTTCTAGGAGGTCTAGGATTGTCAGAACACCTGCTTGAGACAGCTGTGTTAATTACAATCTGCCAGAATGACTCGCCACCTTCAGATTTCTCCAACATCGTTTGCCTTTGTCTGTCTCTGTGTGCTGCGTGCACGGCTGCTTCTGCATTTTTCTGGAAACTGAAATTCACTTAAATGGATCTCGTCAGCTGGTCTCAACGCAATTGATAGAATTTTTTCAACGATGAGAACGGAAGAAGGGGCTCCCGGATGCCCCGCCGGGACAGACCCAGTTGGACACATCATGGACTCCTGGAAACAGTGGAACTTGATCTGTCTTTCTCAGCTGTCTGTGGAGGACTCTGAAGACATGTGGATATTCGTGGTGTTGGTGTCAGGTTTCCTGCTCATTGGCCTTGGAGGCTACCTGGCTTACCGGAAAATCAACGAGCTGTCGAGGAATATTGGCCTGATCCCAGAGCTCACAGATGGTTTGCACCGCGCTGTGAATTCACAGACTCAAATAATTGTCGAGATGAATCGTAAGCTTGGGACTTTGGTGGAGATTCATTCTTTGGCACAAAAGATGGATGTCATCAAGGAGAGAGTGGACGAATTAGAACGGATTGGGATAGATTAACATCCATTATTGAGATTCTGAGAGGTTGAGGACCAACAAACTGTAAGACAGAGAGGAAATTATCTCTGTCTGGCCCCCAAACAATTTCTAATCAGAATCTGGCGTCCTTGAGCCTGCGAGGCTCCAACAAAAACTCCCCCCTCAGAAGATATGTGGAATGTGCCGTCGCTATGGCAACTCAACTCTGTCTCCTTTCCCAGCCTGGGCGGGACTGCAGGAAGGCCGCTGAAGCGTCCAGGGTCACTGCAACCCTCCAACCCTCAATGCTTCTCCCCCATCCACACTGAGGTGACATGCGCTGCTTCATCGTGGCTGCAGGAACTGAAGTGGGGATAACCCCAACCCACCACCCCACCTAGTGGACACTTATGTTGTGTTGTCTGAAGTCTGTTGCATATCCGTCTGAGGTGTTTTTTTTTTGCAGAGCAAAGCTGCTCTTCTGGTGGGAGGGTAACTCTGAAGAGCCTTTTTTTCCCTCCACCTGAACCAATCCTCATGTAACCCTCTCATCTCTATTAAGGCAGCGCGACTTAGGGTTGCGAATGACCACAGTCACCAATTCTTGTCATGTGTCTTGCCCATGTATGTCTGATCTCTGAATTGTGTGTTGTGAAACTCTAATTTCCCTCTGGGATTAATAAAGTATCTTTGATTTGATTGATTGATTTATTTCAATGATCCGACTCATGAGATTCTGGACTACCAAACTCCCCGACTAACGTCGACTCAGTAAGTCATCTCTTTCCTACTCTGGAGTATCCGCTCAGCCCTCCTTCTGGTCCGGTCCGGTGGTCACTCCTAGATCAAACCGCGTGCCTGTTTATTCCCGACGCTCGCTCCTCCAGGTCTGGGTCATTCAAACACGCTACAGCCGAACTCCCTGGTCTCTCAGTTCACCTACCTATCGTAACAGAAATATTAGGTAAGTTGAACGAAACTGCCAAAAATAATGATTACACATGTCTACAACACTATTGGATACTCATACAGGTTATCAGCAAAAAATATTGATTTAGGCCAGGGCTATTCAATTCCGGTCCTGGAGGGCCAGTGTCCAGCACGTTTTGGTTTTAACTCTTTAACTCTGCTTCACACCTGATTTCAATCAGCAGGTGATTAACAGGCTTCTGCAGAGCATGATGAGCTGCTGCACAGGGGTTTCCACCACTGAATCAAGCGTGTTGGACCAGAGAAACCACTGAATACTGGCCCCCGAGGCCCAGAACTCAATAGCCCTGATTTAGGTGTTACTCGCTCTCTAAAATCTGTTCTTTAGTATTAAGTAGAGGCAAGCCAACTCTGATTGCCTCTCCTTGTTCCTGTTAAAAGTCAAGCTGCAATGTTCCAAACCTTCTGAAGATGGTGTAAGAAAGGCCGATCAATACATACAGTATCACTAGGTGATGTGATAAAAGCAGGGATTACCTTCTCAAAATCCTAATACAGGATTTGACCTTGGTTAAAAAGACGAAGTTGAAAGACTCAACCACTGAGCTGTTGGTTTATCTAGTTTGACAGAAATGTCCATAATTACCCCCGGATTTCTGACGGAGGGCCGGGTGAATGAAATCAAGACAAGATGCTGTCTTCTTAAGTTTCCATTGCACAATTATAAGCCTTGTCACTGTTGTTAGTTTCACATTATCCCAATAGATGCGTTCTGCAGGAAGGCCGCACCAAAAGGTTGTTTGTGCTCGCTAACAACCATAGAAATCTGTGTTAATAATTATCTTACAAAACTGGCAGAGATCAGTATTTGCATAAACCACAGTGCTTCAGCCCTGCTCAGATTAGCCATTTGCTTGTCATTCAGGTCAGAACTGATCTCTGATCTAGTTATTTTCATCACTTTCCTGCATTCTTTCTTTATCTCTTTCCTTTGACTGTTCTATTGTGGAACTTTCAAAAGCACTGCCCTTAAATAAACACAATAGGAGATGCAGTAAAACTCCAGTGAATGGTTTTTATACCACAGACGTCCCTGGATCCTGCAGGCTTCCCACAGTCTGGAGATTTTTCCCACATGTCAGAGGGAAGCTGTAACACAGATCAATGACTTCACCTGCTTTCTCCCAGCTGAGGAGACTTCATAGCTTGTCAGACTAAAGTGAATGCTTTCACATGTATATATATCGCTTTTCAACCCACATCACTTAATATTGAGTATTAATAAAAATGCTGAAAATTCCTCAGTCCACTTCTGCTAAACAAATAATACCCATAACTCCTCTCTGTGTTCCTTGTTTTTCTGTAGTGGTGTGTCCCCTGACGTGCATGAACGGAGGGGTGTGCAGCTCCAGGAAGACCTGCTTGTGCCCTCCTGGATTCACCGGTCGGCTCTGCCAGTTTCCACTGCAGCAAGCTCAGGCAGCACACGGCAACAGGCAGCCGGTGTACCTCACTCACGTGAAGCCCGACGGCCAAAAGCTCGTGGAACAGTCGGCCATCGGACGCACTCAGCTCACGCAAACACACTCCATTTTCACCCTGCCATTGTCGCAGGCTGGGCACTCGTCAGAAGGTAAACGCCGTTCACTTCAACACGTCTAAGTCTGGGCCTTGGTTCACATTATTCCTTCTTTGTTTTAAACTTTCAGTGCAGATTAATGTACGTGTTCACCACGCACCGGAAACCTCAGTCGTCATCCAACCTCTCGACCAGTCAGACGCCTCCAAGCCTCCTCACAAGACGGGGCCATGGCAAATCCCGTCGAGACACAAACCAAAGGGGCGTTGCTTCCAGGAGACCACGCCCAAACAGGCTGTGAGTCCAACCACATCCTGCTGTGGTCAGCCGGGGACGTCTGTGTCATGTGTTGTTTTTTTTCCTTGTTTTTAGTGTGACAGCACCCCACTTCCTGTTCTGACCAACCAGGAGGATTGCTGTGGCAGTGTGGGAAACTCATGGGGACAAAACAAGTGTTATCAGTGCCCCAAATTACCAAGTGAGTTCCACTCTTTCTCCAGAGATGGATTATGGACTCAACTGGCTCCAGGTCCAAATTTGTAGGCATCAAACGCTCTTTCTTTTCCTGCATAGCAGAGTTAATGCAGCATGTTTTGGTGACATTTTCATCCATGTGCGTTCCATGGATAAAATTATTGTTTATCGAGCCAAAAAATGTGAACCGTGCTTTCCCCTTCCTGAGATTATAGCTCTGGATTAAAATGATTGTTTTATAGTCCCATAAAAATAGTTTCAAAGCGTGCATGAAGGTACACTTGGGAACGGTGTGAAGATGTTTGTGAGGAGAAAACAGAGGGAGGAATTGTGGGAATCACACACACACACACACACACACACACACACACACACACACACACACACACACGCGTGCACACACACACACACACACACACACACACACAGAAAAGGAGAAAGTGGAAAATAACCCTCTGATTGGGCCCGTCTCTGCGCGCCTGCCCAGCGCAGGACTGTCATCGCCCCGCTGAAGATCGAATTTCAAGAAAATCTTGGCTGCTCAGGTTTTTCCATTCCACTATTATTTTCCTTCTCTCAGTTCTGGCTCAGACAAAGTGGCCTTTGACTAAACCTGATACTGTACGTCTGGCTGGTCTGGATGACTGGGTTCTTTCTCATCGAGATGTCAGCTCTGTTACACGTGGGCTCATTGTTAAAATCCTCCTTTTTCATGAAAACAGTGAAGATACGCTACGAGCTTGCCTCTATTTCATCTAGTCATTAAGTGTGGTGGTGTTCCCACAGCTCGGTTCCATCTCTCATGGAAAACAAAACCATTTCCTGTTTTAGGGGCGAAGAAGAAAGCAAAGACAGGATTTTATGACATGAAAGCTCGTGAAATACTATTTTAGTCTGTTTTTACGAGCTAACCATCATCAAAAACGTCTTTAAAAACATCTAAAGGACAAGAACACTGCAAAAATGGATTCTAAAGAAAGGAATATTATGTATAACTTTAGTCTAAAAATTAAAAAATGTTTTTTTTTATTTACAGCACTATTTGAAGTAAGGTAAATACTCACTTATGATCCAATTTTCTTGTTTTGAGTAGAAAACATCTATTGGAGAAAGCAAGCATTGCTTGGCTAGAAGTCTAAAAACTAGCAAATAAATCTAACATCAGATTCTCTTCAAAACAAGAAAATGTGATCACATTTAGAAATATTTATATTATTTCAAGTGTTTTTGCGTTATTAAACATTTTTTTAGACTAAAAACAAGATAAAATGCCTAAAACTGAGACTTTTTTTAGTTCTTTAAAATCAGTTTTTGCATTGAAAACATGAAATGAGCTTAGGCTGCCTGAAATAATTGACGAAAGGACACGCACGTGTCACAGTAGGCAGAAAAATTCAACATGATGAAAGTTTTTCACTAATAAATTCCAGAAAACTCAGTAAATCCGATAGATTTTACAGTATTCTTGTGTTCATAACATCTTATTTTCAGGTTTCCCCCAAAGGTGTTTTTAACATAATTTTATTATTTGTGGAGCGCAAATCAGCCGCTCTTTTCTCCTCTGAGGTGTGCCAAACATGCCTCTAGGAAGATATCATGTTAATAAAGGGTGTGGTAATAATTTATTAAATTAAAACAGGAACCGAATTCTATGTTTGGGCCAACTTTACATCCGTTTCATTTGCACAGGAAGCGAAGAAGCAAACTGAGTAAAAAGTTTGGGGTGCATCAGTGGCATCAAACCTTACTGACATTAAAGGGACAATTTGCAACTTTTTCATCTTTTTAAATAATTTTCTTGAGCCCGTATGTGCTAAAATGACCCTTTACAGGTTTAATGAAATGTCACGCAGACCCCCCACCACCCTCTGTGGCCAGAATACCACATTCACAAGTTCAGAGTGCTGGTCCGGTGTTGGTACCAGATCGGCTCGGGGTCCTGCGTCTGCCAATTAGGTCACAGTAGATGATTGGCTGGACTTAGGGAAGTTACATTACCACATTTGTAAAAAGTTACACTAGCATGTTGACAATAAAGATTTTGATTGGTCAAATTTACGGTTGTAGTATAGCGGTTGTAGTCCTGTAGTCCAAAAATCAACACTTTTGGGAGAAAATATGTTTGCATTTCCAAAGAAAATGTAAAATAAAAGCAAAGGCATCAGCTGATAAACGGAGACCCTCAAAAGCTCTTGATTTAGATGAAATGGGGCTAAATAAAATAAAAGAATTTATTGAAAGGACAACAAAGCAAAATTTTGAATGAATGAATGTATTTATATAAAAACTAAGGAAATATAAAGATGGATTCCACATTAATACAAACAGATATGGCTTCACACATAAGAACTGTTGTCTTTTTTGGCAGTCTGATGTTGGTTTTATGTTGTTTCACATTCTTTACAAAACAATGATAATATGATGTTTTACTAACAAATTACAATTATAAAAAATATTTAGGTGTTAACAAACAAGAATTTATTAACAAAACTGCTGTTCTATTTCGTCTAGTCTTAGCCCTTAAGCGAGCTGCTATTGCTATTGGAAGGATGATCTCCGCATCAGCCAATCATGAAGAGCTTAAATGTACGCCCACCAATAGTGGGCCCCCTCGTGGTATATAACCGCAGTGACCCCACTGCTCGCCTCCTTTTTCTCTTCATGCCAAGCTGAGAGCTTCTTAAAGAGCAAATTTATCCAGAAAGAGCAAGATTATCCGAGAAGACTTACCAGCCATGTCCAGCGACGCCAGACCCTGCCCGACCTGCCAGTCGGGCTCCATTTCCAGCGGAGACCTGCACGCTAAGTGTGAGGTCTGTCTCGGGGCTCACCACGCTGGCCTGGCCTTGACCCCGCAGGCCTCGTGCCCGTTCTGTGCCGCTCTGCCCGTGGCAGAGAAGATTCGCCGGGTCGAGTACTTCACTCCCGCCGCCGACGAAGAATTTCCGGTGGCTGACTCGTACCCGCTGGACAAGGCGTTGGATTTCTTCGACGCCGGTCAGGAGCCGGCTGGCTTCAACCGGCTGGATGACGTCACCGACAGCGAGAACTACGACGAGGCGGCATCCCTCCTAGACATAACGGAGGTCGATGAGCTCCGCCCAGCGGGTCCTTCTGCCCCAGTGGCTTCTCGCTCCTCCCTGCCAGCAGTAAGAGCACTGCTCCAGGAGCTGCCCACCATCATTTCTGCGGCAGCAGCCCACAAGGGGCTAGCTGTGCCAGAACCAGCCCCGCCTGAAGCGGATGATTTGGCGGGAATCTTCGGGGCAACTCAGACACGCTGTCTAGACCCTATTTGGCCGCGCTTTCCCGCTGCTATGAGCTGCTGGTCTGCCGCCTTCTCCGAGCCTGCCAAGCTCAAGGCGCCAGTCTCCACCTATGCGCCCATCACCAAGGTCGAGGGGTTTTCCGACCAAGGCTGGCCGTCCGTTCCTCCGCTAGAGCCGGACTTGGCCTCGCTGTTTGGCGCCAAGAAACACCTCGCTGGCCCGCGAGCTGTTCCCGCTTCAAAACATGACCAGCTGCTGACGCGGCTCACCGACCGCGCACATCAGTGTGCCTTTCAGACCGGCGCTGCAGGGAATAACATCGCCCTCCTTGCCTTCGGCGTCTCGAGGATGATGGAGGAGCTGGAAGCCCCCGAGGAGTCGAAAGCCGTCATTACTAAGACTGCTGATGCTATCCTCAATTTGTGTGCTGCTGTGCTCACCGGTTCTGCTCGCATCGCTGCCTGGCAGACCCTCATCCAGCGAGCGATCTGGCTCAAGGCCCTGCCCTCCATTCCGGAACATCTGCAAAGGGAGATGCTGGACGGCCCCATCACCACCGATGTTCTGTTTGGTCCCCATCTTAAGGGCGTCATTGAGAGGGCTCAGAAGACGGCCGAACTATCGGCTACGGTACGAGACCTGGTTCACCCTCGGTCAGCCTCACACTTCGGCCGTTCTGCCAGAGGATGGGACGAACGGCGCGGAAGCTTCAAACGCCCAGCTGCACCGTCCGCTCCACGGAGCCGGCCTCCCGCTTCGGCTCCACATCAGCGGGACCAGCGAGATGGCGGGCAACGGTTCCGGCGGGGCCAGCAGACGCCGTCTTGGCAGTCCCAGGTGCACGAGCCTCGCCGAAAGCAGCCACGGAAGTGACTCTTTGGGGGGAATGTGTGTGTACATGATTGTAATGATGTTGATGTTGGTTTTGAAATAAAACCCAAAACATGTCACTCAAAGAGCACAATCCTACAGTCCTCCGCAGAATCCTCTGCCGAGTTCTCACACATGTTCCCCACACCAAGCACTGCTGCACGCATACATGTTCCTGCAGGCAGTCATAATATACGGCCAACCGTAAGGGTGCGCTCCATTTGCGCTCCGGCCCCAGCATCCGGCCGGGCCCAACTCTCCCAGCTCTCACCACATCGTCGGGTGGGGCGAGATGTCAGGTCGCTGTCTCGACCACGCGCGGCGGCACAGTGCGCGGCTTCATCCACTGGCACTCTGTCGCCCCCGTGCACAGGCTCGGCTCCCACTCGTCCTTCACTCTCGGACTCCACGCTCCGCGGTGTGGACCAGCCTGTTCCAGCTGTTTTGCACTCGCCCTTTCGAGCGCAGCCCTCCATGGGTCGCCCCCAGTTCTCTGGTACGGGCGACGGCGGTAAGGGCGCATGCACAACCCTCAGTCGTTGCTCACGTGACCGCGCACACGCGTCCACTGTCGGAACGCGCGCACGAGTGGCGCCGCCTTTGTATCATGAGCAAATGGATTTCGGACACCATTCATTGCGGTCACACACTTCATTTTCAGGTCACTCCACCTCCCTTCAACGGGATCGTGGAAACGACGTTCACATCGCAAGTACAGTCTCAGGCCCTAGAGCTGGAGTTGCGGGAACTTCTGTCCAAGGACGCTATTTCACGAGTCCCTCGCGGACAAGAGCTCTCGGGCTTCTACTCCCGCTACATCATAGTACCGAAGAAGTCGGGAGGAATGACACCGATTCTCGACCTGTCCCTGTTCAACTGCTCCATAGCAGTAATGCATTTCCGCATGTTAACGATGAGACAAGTCCTGGAATATGTGTGCCCCGGGGATTGGTTCACGTCAATCGACCTGAAAGACGCATACTTCCACATACCAGTAATTCCAAATCACCGGAAGTTTCTGCGTTTTTCGTTCAAGGGAGTTCAATATCAGTTCAATCGCCTCCCTTTCGGCTACTCGCTAGCCCCGCGCACCTTCTCCAAATGTCTGGAGACCGCGCTGCAGCCACTGCGCACGGAGGGAATGAGGGTTTTATTTTACTTGGACGATCTTCTCCTGTGCGCTCGGTCCAAGGACGAGGCATCACAGCAAACCAGGAGGTTGACAGAGCATCTGTCGACCCTGGGGTTTTCTATAAACTGGGAAAAGAGCTCCGTTCTTCCATCCCAGTCGATTGTGTATCTCGGGGTGGAGTTGGACGCCTCCCTAATGAGAGCACGTTTGTCGCCTGCAAGAGCGGCAGATCTCTCCACGGTGATCTCCCGTGTACAACCCCGCAAGATCGTGAGAGCCCTGTTAGTCATGAAACTCCTGGGCATGATGTCCGCAGCCCATTCGGTGGTGCCGCTAGGCTTGCTGCACACAAGGCGCTTGCAACGTTGGTTCACCCGCCTCCGGGTGCACCCGATACGTCAGAAGAGACGTATGTTGAGGATTCCCCCTTCAGTGGGCGGGGACCTCGCTCACTGGGGGAACCCCTGCATCCTCTCACGCGGGGTTCCCATCGGACGTCCTGCGTCACATGTATCTGTGTTTACGGATGCGTCACTGTCGGGGTGGGGGGGCACGTGCTTGTCCCATACGGTGGCAGATCGTTGGCCCTCCCACACGCACGAGCACATAAATGTGTTGGAGCTTATGACAGTGAGGAATGTGATCAGACACTTTACTGCCCTTCTCGAGGGCCGTCATGTCGAAGTTCACACAGACAACCAGGTGGCGGCAGCCTACATAAATCGCCAAGGGGGAGTTCGATCCCTCCCTCTGTTGCGTGTCACCACAGATTTACTGTGTTGGACACATGTCCACCTGCTGTCCATCAGAGCCATCTACATTCCGGGGGTCCTGAATGTAGCGGCAGACATCCTGTCGAGAGGGGGACCCCGCGACTCCGACTGGCGTCTGCATCCCGCACTGATATCACAGATCTGGATCAGGTTCGGGGAACCGTCTGTGGATCTGTTTGCGGCTCGCGAAAACGCTCAGTGTCGCCTGTGGTTTTCCCTGAGTCCCCGGGACGGACCTCCGCTCGGGGCGGACGCCTTCTCACACCAGCCCTGGCCTCGAGCGCTCCTTTATGCGTTTCCACCAGTCCCTCTGATTCCCCGTCTCTTAGACCGAATTTGGTCGGAACGGCTCTCGGTGATTCTGGTGGCTCCCAGGCGCTTGTCCGCGTCATGGTTTCCGGACCTGCAAGCGCTAGTGTCCGGCTCCCCGTGGAGGCTCCCGTGGAGGGCGGACGCCCTTCTCCAGGGGTATGGGATAATCGGACATCCTCCGGAAATAGGCCAACGGTTGTGGGTCTGGCCGCTGAGCGGTCACGCTTAGAGGCTTCTGGGCTGCCGCATGATGTGGTCGCCACGATTCAGAGTGCGCGGGCGCCCTCTACCATTGCGTCTTACGCTGCTAAATGGGCAGCTTTCCAGAAATGGTGCACGGAGCGGAATGTTCAAGCGCTCTCCTGCCAGCTGGCGGATGTCCTATCGTTTCTGCAGATACTGATGGACAGGGGCCTCGCCTTCAGCACTATTAAAACATATGCTGCAGCTATCTCATCCTGTCACCAAGGGTTTGGAGATAGATCTGTTTTCAATCATCCCCTCACAAAACGTTTTCTAAAAGGTGTCAGGAGGAACAGACCTGTGTCCCGCCCGCTTTTTCCCCAGTGGGATCTAACGGTGGTTCTGCACGGCTTATCCAAAGCCCCATTTGAACCCTTGGACCAGGTCTCACTCAAGTTCCTGTCACTTAAAACTGCATTGCTGCTAGCGCTAGCGCTAGCATCAGTTAAGAGAGTGAGTGACCTGACCGCCCTTTCAGTGGCTCCCGCATGCCTCAGGATCCGGGAAGATGGCGGGTCTGCTGTTTTATGCCCCAATCCAGCCTTTGTGCCCAAAAGCATTAATGCTTCCTTCAAATCCAGGTCAATTTCATTGGCTGGACTTTTTCCTCCTCCCCATAATTCTGAGGAGGAAGCGGCTTCTCACCTTCTCTGCCCGGTGCGCGCGCTTGTACGGTATGTGTCACGCACTTCGGAGATTCGTCGTTCACAAAATCTGTTTGTGCACTACAGGGAGTCTTCCCTTGGTCAGGCGCTGTCGACCCAGCGTCTTTCACACTGGCTGTGTGAAGCCATTTCCCTCGCTTACACGTCATCGGGGCAGGATTCCCCTGAGGCACTCAGGGCTCACTCAGCCAGGGGGATTTCCTCTTCGATGGCGCTCCATAGTGGTGTGTCGATGGAAGACATTTGTCAGGCTGCTTCATGGGCTTCATCCTGTTCCTTTACTCGTTATTATTTACGAGATGTGTCTTCAGGTTCCATCACTCGTTCAGTGCTTGGACCCCAGCAGGCTGAATGAATGCTTATGGCACCCCATTGGCCTTGCTGAGATGGATTTCATCCTCTCGTGGATGATGTTTTTTTAGTGGGGGCCCCTCTCTTATCGTGCCTGCCTCAGTCTTTAAGCCTGGTCTGAGGCTGAACCTCCCTCACTAAAGGAGATTGATTGGGTGTATCCATTGGTTGTGTTAACCAGTGTGGCGTAAACCCATCCAGCTGCGCTTTATTCCAATAGCAGCTCGCTTAAGGGCTAAGACTAGACGAAATAGAACGTTGGTTACGTATTGTAACCCCAGATTCTATGAGTCTAGTCGCAGCCCTTAAGCCACTTGGCCCCACTGGTTATGATGGAATAAGAGCCATTGGAGGCGAGCAGTGGGGTCACTGCGGTTATATACCACGAGGGGGCCCACTATTGGTGGGCGTACATTTAAGCTCTTCATGATTGGCTGATGCGGAGATCATCCTTCCAATAGCAATAGCAGCTCGCTTAAGGGCTGCGACTAGACTCATAGAATCTGGGGTTACAATACGTAACCAACGATGTCCTGACAAATCTTAAGTGTGAAAGCTGAGTGGAGTTTCTGTAATGTGACGTCATCAGCAGGCGCAGGACCCCGAGCCAATCTGGCAGCCCGAGCAGATCTGGTACAGACACCGGCCTTTTGGACTTGTAGAAAAATCTAGCTGACATACCTGGCACTGCAGTCTGCTTCCAGCACACTTCCTGCATGTTTTAGGTCATGAACACAGATGATTTGTTTAATTTAGTTATGAATCGCCCATGTAGACACTTTGGAAGGCTGGAGAGACATTACAGCTGTTAGATTAAGGTGTTAAAATGATGAACGCATAGCGAGGAGATAAGTTTTGCTTTTGGTTCTACTAAACGGACACTAGGGGGTGCTAGAAGCAAGCAAAACCTGCCTAATCTCCCTAAGACGGCTCTCTGACAGCCTCCCACAGGACTCGGTCCAGTTTTTTTTTTAATCCTACAGATGATCAGAAACATCGCTCCTCAGATGCTTTCATGGTCGTGTTTGTAGTTGTGCTGACATCTCTCCACTCCCACAGATGCATCGGTCAAACAGACCATTGTGGAAGACTACGGCTCGACCTGTCCACAAGGCTACAAAAGATTTAACAGCACACACTGTCAAGGTAACACATTTTAAAATAGCTTCTGATTTTTCTGTTTACTCCATAATCATTTAAAGCTTTCCATTTTTCACACTCCTCTGTTTGACTTCCAAGACATCAACGAGTGCTCCCTGCAGGGTGTTTGTCAGAATGGAGACTGTCTAAACACGCTGGGTAGTTTCAAATGTTCCTGCAAGTCCGGCTATGTTCAGGAGAGGAACCGATGTGTTGGTGAGGGATTCTGCAGAGAGAGTTGTCCATGGAGCTGTTGTCATAAATCAAACTTTGTACCGGATGTGCTCTGTGACAGAATCTCCTCCTGAGCTGGCTCAGTGCTTTAGATTAGCATCTGAGACCAGGGGCTGTGAGCACCCACTGCAAAACTACATCACCAAGGAGGTGTGCTGCTGCACGGTGGGGAAAGCCTGGGGCAACCAGTGCGAACGGTGTCCTCAGGTGGGAACAGGTGAGTTAACAGTGGTAGCATCTATGCATTAACACAAGCATGTGTCACATATCCCAGCAAGTATTTGGTGTGTTTTATTTAAAATCCCAGAAAGTCATCATTGGAAGTCCATCTACTGATTTACTTGTGGAGTCAGTCCAATTAAAGATGGCCGTCACAGCTGATCGGGCTTAGCAAACACAAAACAGTCTGTTTTACTGAACATCATCATCATCATCTAAAGCTCTTTGATAGATTGTGGATGAATAAAGTTTGCTGTTTCTGAAAACACATAACCAGATGTGGTTTTCATGCAATCTTTAAAGGTGTGGAACACTGATAATCAATTTTAAAGGGACTGTAAGGAAGTTTGACAGTCAAAACATGTATGGAAATAATACATTTCTTCTTCATACATTCTCCTGCAATGCCCTGGTCCTGTAGAATGAGCCCTGGCATTTTTATTATGATTGCTTGTTTTCTGTAAAATCACAGAAAAAGAGAGATGCTCGGGCCGAGCAGGCTGCTTCATGCGCGTTCACGCTCAGGCATCGCCCGTAGCATTTGCTATCCGTAGCTTTATCAGCAGAGAGAGAGGCAGTGCCAACTCAGCGACTTTGTCGCTGTTCCTAACGCCTTGTGACAAACCTAGCTACATTTCTGAGGACCCTTAGCTACTTTCTGTAGAACTTTCTTCTAGATATTTCCTGCAAATTAGCAACAAAATAGCCATTTTCGCTCCAAACCGTTTTTTTGGATTGATGTTGTTTCAGCTGTTATAAGGATATAAATATTACAGATAGCTTAAATGTCACTGGTGCTTTAGCTCACCTAGTAAGATGTCTGACTCTCATACGTAAGGCCTGGGTACAACTCCAGGTGTCAACATAATTTATTATTTGGAGTTTATTTTTATATATTTTCTTACAGTAATAAGATGCCCAAATTTTTATTCGGGACTCGCCGAACGGCATTGAATTCACGGATTTAAAAAGATGTGGGTTCAACTTTCATTTTGGAACAATTTTTCAAGCAAGGGAAGGGAATGATCTGAGCATGCAGGAGGACTGACCCATCATAAACCTTTGCCGGCTGTGCTGAAGAGAAAGGTACAGAACCAAATTATTTAATTAATTAGCTGCGTGTTCTCCTGTCCTCTGTCCTCCGGGCCACACACACACACACACACACACACACACACACACACTGCACATTCGGCCGGCCGACGAGAAAGTGCAGCTGCAGAGACAGAGGCACATTATTTTTATTAATTTGCTGTGTTCTGTCGTCCGGGACACACACACACGCACACACACACACACACACACACACACACACACACACACACACACACACACACACACACACACACACACACACATGGGAGTGTCTCAGCTGTTATTTTCATTAAGGAGTGTGCACGTACAGCATACGCACCTCATGCACGAGCTTACTTTTGAAGCTGCAGTTAAGCGTTAGGCCTGAGTGGCGATCGCGAGCATAAAAACTTCAAACTTCCTTACAGTCCCTTTAATGATTATGAATGATAATGATGTCATTCTGAGATTTCATAAAGGCTGAACATGAAAATAGTCTCCTACACCTTTCTCCTACATTAGCTTCTGATAGAAAATAGACGGTGAAACTCTAGGATTAGAAAAGTCTGATAGATCTGTGTCACACTGTCACTTAACTCATTCACTGCCGGCCATTTTCTGACCAGTAAAGTCCTTCGCTGCCAGCATTTTTCAGCATTTTCACTGTTTTTCAAGAGTCACAGAATGTTGCGCGTTAGGATGATGTTGACGCCAAAACTACCAAAACAAAGAGTAGACTCACTTCTTACATCAGGAAGAATCCGCGCTTGTCTAGCATTATCCGTTCTTTCATAATCCGTTGTTAAACTGTGATCGGCAGAAGCTTTTCTGGTTTGTGCCTCACTTTTTTCAGCAGCGGCCCAAAACGATCACCTAACACATGGATTTTCTGCTTCCTGATCATGTGACGTGTGACGTACGCAGATGAAGATCGGCTTTAGAGCTGGGATGTTTGTTCTCACTGTGCAACGCCCACACAGTAAAAAAAACGCAAATGACAACTTTAGTCGTCAATGGCAGTTGATGGGTTAACATTCACTGACTCACCCATCTTGACTCTCGACGGGGAAGGCTGTTGTTGGTTTTGCATCCAGAAAACAGCAGAGAATGTCAGCTAGCAGAAGCTAACCGTTAGCATTAGCAACTCCACCACAACAGTCAATGGTACAATCGCATTGCTGTTAGCCAACAGATGTCCAAATATCAGCAAGTAAAACTCCAAATCCTGCCGTGTTCCGCTCTTCTCTGATGTGGCATTCTGCTAGTTCCTGAAACTATCTGCCCCCACCCCCACCCCCACCCCCCTTCACCCCACCCCCGAGTACGACTTGCAAGGCATTCATTTCTGCTGAAGACCACTGCAAATGTATTGATTAAATGATTAAACCCTTAACAAGCCAGTGTTCTTGTGTGGTTTTCAGTGGCTTTCAGTCAGATCTGTCCTGCTGGGAAAGGATATTTCATCCAAAGTATAACAGAAACTGTGGCTTTGTCCCCCATCCTTTTCCCTCCAAATTGTGAGTGCTCAGGCTTTTAAACGATCACTTTTACAAAAATTAATTCTCATCATGTGAGTTCACAGTTTTCATTTTCTCATCTCACTTTCCTTTCAGCTCCAGTTGTGACGGTAAGATATTACTTCTCCTTGTATTTGTTGGTTATTTGAGCTGTTTTGGAATGTTTCTGTTCTTGTCCAATCAGGAGAAGCCTCCAGAGACGTCTACTGAGCAGCAGGCCTCCATTGGCCCACGCGTACCTGGTAATCTCACCTTTCCTTTCACATCCACTCAGACAATTAACATGACTACCTAGTGTGTACTGCTGGCACAGTGAGGAGAATGTTTCTTTTCTGCTGCTAACTGACACAATCATGTGAAGAAATGTTGTCCATGTCAGGACTAAAGATCAACATGTCATAGTTCCTCCTAAAACTCTGTTCACTTCATTTCTCCTCTGTTGGATCCGCAGTTGTAAAACCCACCCCTCCACCAATCGTCCGCATCCTCCCAGGCAATGACCCCCTCGAAATAGAGACAGATCTCCGTGAGTTTCACACAAATTCTGTATTCACCACAAAATAAGGTACTTTTGTAAATGCTGGCTCATGTTTCATGCACCTTAAAAAGGAAAAAAAAATTGGGAAACCCAATTCTCTACATTTAAGAATGATATTACGTTGAGACTTGGGTCCTTTTCTCACAAATGACATGTTGACTTTCTCCGCTCAGTTAATGGCATTTACGCTGATTGATTAAAGTTACTTAGTTTAGTCTTTTGCATGTTTTTTTTAACAGGGATTGATTACATGATGCTTAGGTGTGCTGTGCATGTTGTGTGCAATCAGCTGTGAAGCATGAACCAGCCATGAGGCTATGCTCACAAGCATTCTGTTACCTAAAAGTAGTAAGTAGCTGCATTTTTTGCTGGTATTGTGTGAAAAACACTGATTCCTTCAAAACGCAAACCAACTCACCCCCAAAGGCATCAGAGATAAGTTATCACTAACGTACAGAGGATGAGAAAACATTTGTGTTTTTGTGAAGATAAAAATGGTGGAGATGTTATATAAGCTAAGGAAGTGTGAACATGGCCAAAAGTCAGACAAATCATCAGGACATGAGCATTATACATGAGCTGAACAGGGATCAGCCTAGACATTTAAGCAACGTTACAGAGCTTTTCCACCAGACAGGTTCCAGTAATGAACCTGGACTGGTTCTAAACCAGTTCCATTACAAATGCTGATAACGATAGGGGAAGTAGATACCTAAATAATTGCAAGCAAGCATTATTTTATATTTACATAAGGCCTTACCAACGGATGGCCATTAGGGTCAAAAATCCCTGGGAGTACAACCTCCAGCAACATAACAAGAACATCAGATTCACTTTCATCACTTGCAATGAGTAAAAAGGGTAAATGTGTAAAAGAAAAACATTTATTAATGCTGAAAGTTCTGTAACCATTTGTTACAAATCAGTAAATGTATTCTGTCCTCATGGGCTTCCGTAGAAGGAAACATGACATCCAATATGGCGTCGCCCAGAGACTTGGACCCGCTCCTATGTATTTTAGACCCGATTTTTATGGTTAATTGTTACGAAACCGCCAATATTTTTCAACAACTAGGCATCATTTAGTCCTCTTGGTCCTTGTTCTGGTTTTCTAAAGCCCTGTGTTTAAAACCTTGGTGTGTTTTTAGACGGTTCTTTTAATCTTCACAGACAGGTGAGTGCAGTGGTCCAATCAGGTTTTTATCATTTAAGGCAGATAGCAAAGGTGAAGCCATATCTTCCTGCTAATGTCCTCGAACATATCATCCATCTGTTCATGTCCTGCCGATTGGACTACTGCAACTCCCTGTATTCTGGCCTGGACCAGTCCTCCGTACACCGACTTCAGCTGGTCCAAAATGCAGCGGCCCACTTGCTGACTGGAACCAGCACGCAGGATCACATAACCCCGGTTCTGGCCTCTCTCCATTGGCCTCCTGTTTCTTAAAGGATCCATTTCAAAATTTAACTTTTTGTTTTTAAATGCCTTCATGGCCTGGCCCCAGTTTACATCTCTGAGCTGCTGTCCGCTTACATCCCTGCCAGAACCATGAGGTCCAGCTCTCAAGCTCTTTTAACAGTTCCAAAAACCGGCCACAAGACTCGTGGCGACAGAGCTTTCTCTGTGGTTGGTCCCAAAGTGTGGAACAACATCAGGACCACACAGAGTCTAGAGCATTTTAAATCCCTTCTTAAGACGCATTTTTTTGATTTGGCTTTTAATGCAGGTTGACTTGAGCATCTTAAGTTTTTAACAGTTTTTATTATAGATTGTGACTGTTGTGTGCTCATCTTATTTTAGGTTTTTATTGTTGATTTGTTGTACCTTGATTTGTTTTACCTTGTACAGCGTTTTGGGTGTAGCTTTGATGCTGTAAATGCCCTCTATAAATAAAATTGACCTTGACCTTGATCATTTAATTCATTTACAACATTTCAATGAATATTTCCAGAGATTAATGGTAAAAACTACACATTGTCACTTTAAGGTTAAATTGTCTTTATTCTGCTGATAATTTCACCCGCCTCATTTATAAACAACAGTTTTAAACAGTTGGTGTTAGTGAATGCTCTCTTACAAACACACTCCAGTATAAGCAGGATTTCTAATCTCATGGCTCAGCAATATTTATGAACAGAGTCGTGAACAAGATTTATACAGAGCGTTTGTGAATGCAGCTCTAGACGTTGCGTTGACCAGCATTCACAGAAGTTTTAATGAATTACGGTGCTCTACAACTGAACTAACGTAACTTCTTAATGTTTAACTGCAACCTTAAAGCAAGACTGACTCAGTTTTCAAACATGGTGTTCATGACATTTTTATGAATTTCCTTCATCTTTTCCCGATCTCCTGATAATCAAATCTGCTAAACCCTGGGTTAAGAACTTCCTGTGTAACGGTCAGATCAGGATCTACGTAGATGCCAGGATGGCCAGTAACAATCACATACACTCATACTTGCATTTATCTATATGTATGTATACATGTACATACATATAGGATAGTACAGATGTATATGTATGTATATATGTGACATTGGTCCTCTGTTCCCTCCCTGAAGCGAACACAGATGAATGTAGAGAAAGCAGAAACGTTTGCGGTGGAGGAGAGTGTGAGAACAGCCCAAACGGCCACATCTGTCACTGTTTCCCTGGCTACCGTCTCAACCAGCAGAAGAACATCTGTGAGGGTAAGAGAGCGTTTTAGAGGAAACAAAAGAAATTTATCATTCAGCATCTCCTGCTTGACAAAAAAGTGGGTGATTTTTGCTCTTCTGTTTATTTAAAGCAAAATCGTTTTTCCTAAATTTGAGGGCAACACAAATCTGCTCGTGCATGACTTCTGTCATAAATTGGGAAAAACTGGATTTTGATATTTTGAACTTGATTTAGTTGAACTTTCAGTATAAAAGCTTCTTTTAAAACTGAGTTTTAATTAAATCTATGTCTGTGCAGTTAAAACCTTCCAATGTGACATTGCTGCTCCCTGAATGACTTCTTCTTTAAAGCATTTTGCATGATGCACCCAACCTTAAGCTGAAATTTAAGAGCTTAGAAGCAAGCAGAGGCAAGCAGGGATGACTTTACTGTTTTAGCGCTGATGCGTGCTCATGTGAAGACTTGCCTCCACTTTATCTGTGGTTTTATTCAGTTATTTGGGGAATTAGAGGAATCAGGCTGTAGCAGGTGCCACAAGTCACTACAAACCTGAACTTTCTCTGCATTTATTCTGTTCCTTATAATATAACTTAAGATGACCTGCTTTGTGTTACGAGCAGAACATTTTTTTAAATTCCTCCAGTTGAGGAAATTGTTAGATTTATGAACAAAATAAAGTTTTAGGAGTCACACGACTCCACTGAGTTGATGCTGACTGCAGCATTTGCGTAGCATTGCTTCTGTTGTGTTCTCATCTACGCCTGCGCTCCAGATGACAACGAGTGTGAGTCGGAGCCGTGCGGCCACGGCAGAGGCCGCTGCATCAACACAGAGGGAACGTACAAATGCCACTGTCGCCCGGGTTACAAACACTTAGTGCTGCATGGAAGACTAAAGTGCACAGGTAGAGTGAGAAGGTTGAATGATGGGTGTGTTGAAATGTGTTTTTTTTTTCTAGTTTGACTCCATCCTTTGTGTTTCACAGATGTGAACGAGTGCCTTAAACAGGACATCTGTGGAGTTGGAGGTCTGTGTGTGAACCTGCCTGGTACTTACAAATGTGAATGTCCCAGTGGCTTCAGGATCAAAGCAAACCGTTACCCAGCCTGTGAAGGTACACACACCATCTTTACACTCTGGGTCCAGAAAAAGGGCCTTAATGGTGGCTTATTATTACTTTAGTGTGTTTCATTATGATGATTGTCTTATTATTCTTGCTATTTATTCCAGACATTAATGAGTGTTTGAATCCAGACACCTGTCCTAAAGAGCAGTGTGAGAACACACCAGGCTCCTATGAGTGTGTGCCTTGCTTGCATGGTTATGAGGCCCATGCTGGTACCTGCTATGGTGAGAACAAACCCACAGCTTGTCAATGAATCTGGACCGTGTGAGAAAAAATATATCAGCAGAATCTAAAGAAATAAACTTTGCATGTGCTTAATTTGCAGACATTAATGAATGTCTGAAGCCCAACATCTGTCCCAACGGGCGCTGTGAGAACCTCGCCGGTACTTACCGCTGTCTCTGTAACGACGGCTTCCTCCACTCTGCAGACAGCAAGAGATGCAGTGGTAAGGGACCCCTAACCCTAGTCCAAACACAACGAGGCGTTTTCATCAGGGAATGTGTATTTTTCAGACATTGACGAGTGTGCAGATGTTCGTCTGTGTGCTAATGGCCGCTGCATCAACACAGAGGGCTCGTTTAAGTGCCATTGTTACCCGGGATACCAGCGTACGCAGGAGGGAAGCCATTGTGAAGGTACAAGTTACCACAGAAAGCGTGGATTTATAAATACTATCTACTACTACTATTTATGGTGTTAAAAAACATTTGATGTATTATGTTTAACATTCACGCCTGCTTCCTGGTCATGGTTTATTTATTTGACATTTTCATTTTAACAACAGACAACAAAACTTGGGGTTCACATGTCCATATGTCCATTCACGCATTACAGAGCCGAAGTCCTTTGAAGATATGAAGTCAATTTTTTCTATTTTTAAGGAAGGTATCAATGTCTCAGTAAAATTATAAAAAACCTAAGAGCTCCTCCCCCTTGTTTTTTTTTATATTAAAGTAATCTGGATAGTTCTACGGATCTTTGAGGCAAAGTTCTAGACTATTAGATGGGGTCCGACTGGGGCCAGCTGCTTTGTAAAAAAGGCAAATTTATAAAAAAAAATACTTATAAAATGTCCTTTAAAGTGACAGTGTGTATTTTTCCTGGCGATAGGGGGCAGTAGATACCTGAATTTTTCGTCAGACTGCTGCATCCTCACTATGCACAGAGGTCACCCACCTCAAAGTTCCTACGTGACTTTACAACTTACAAGTTGAAATGAGTTGAATAAACAAGATGTTCAATCAAATGTTTGAATATTCTGTGCTTTAATCAATATCTGTACTCATACACATTAAAATAAGATTATTATCAATGATAACATTCACTTCACATAAGTTTAAAACATTCACACGAAGAGTTGACCTCTCTGAGGATCTGAGTGAAAGAGGGATTGCTGAGGAATGTTTGATAATGCCCTCAAATGTGTCAAATTCTGATTTGCCAAATTTATAAGCAATGTGTTTAATAAAACAGGAATTAGGGTTAGGGTTAGGATCGAGGTGTGCTGTTCGCATCAATGAGTGTCAGCCCTCCTGCAAAGGAGCCCTACTCGTTTATTTCTAATACAGTTGGAGTCACTCTTGGTTAGGTGTCATCAGCTGTGATTTAACTTAAGAGATCATTTTTTTCGGGTTTTTCTGGCTTCATTTAAAATGTTTTACATGAATTATTTTGCTGTCTTGCTGATGTAAAATAAATAAATTCATTTTATTCTCAAAAACATTTAAACTGCTAAAAACTCCTCTAATTTCTGGGCGAAGTTTGAAATTAAATGCAGCAACCCAACAAATATTTCCAGATGGAACATTCTCATCTCAAGTTTTTTTAAGGTTGTTTTACCTGTTGATCCTCTTTGAAATGTTTCTAATTAACTTTTCTTTTATTTTTTTCCTTTTGTTTGAAAATCAAATATGTTTATTTTCTGTTGAACCCTTCAGATTTCAGTACGACCTGTTTATTTCTGTCCTCTTCAATGATCAGTCAACTATTGTTAAATGTGGTGAAACAGTTTTCCTTTTTAGACTTTGCCTTCTGTCAAATCCATATGGTTTTATTTTTATGTATGAATGACTGTCTGTTATGGCTAACGAAAGTGATGAAAATCAGAACTTAGTTAACTAAAACTAAAGCTTTTGTGCAGTAATACAGTTTTACTGTCAAAACCTTTGGTTACGTTGAAGCAGTACGAACACTCTAGACAAGAAGCTTCACATGCTGATGTTTTCCCTCCCTGCAGATATTAACGAGTGTGAGAGGCCATCGAGCTGTGTGAGGGGCCGCTGCATCAACAGCATGGGCTCGTACCACTGCGAGTGCCAGAAGGGATACACACTCGTTGGAGGAAGGGAATGTCAAGGTCAGTCTCTTCAAACACATTTTCTCTTCTCTGTTATTAATAATTATTTAAAATATTCAGAATGTCAGTGTTTAAGTAAATTAGAAGTAACTGAGACTTGCTGTGGATTTAAAAGTTGTTGAACTCAGTCAGATGCTTACAGGAGTCTGCGTGATTTCCCTTTCAGACATTGACGAATGTGCTGCGGACAGGAACCTCTGCCAGCCCTACGGCTCGTGTGAGAACAGACCGGGCTCGTACATCTGCAGCTGTAACCACGGTTACGTCCTCTCGGAGGACAGGCACAGCTGTGAAGGTGAGTTTGATTTTTTTTCCCTTGTGTGGAGCATCAAATCTCTGCATGATCGCATCCTATATTTACAAAAAGCAAATACTTCCTCTTCTCTTTGTTTGGTTCTGCAGCAGTTCAAGTGCTGACAGACGATAAGAAGGAGTGCTACCTGAACCTGGATGATACCGTGTTCTGTGACAGCGTTCTGGCCATCAACGTCACCAAGCAGGAGTGCTGCTGCTCCATCGGGATGGGATGGGGAGACCACTGTGAGATCCACCCCTGCCCCGTCTCCCACTCAAGTACAGTCACAAAAACGCAACACAGCTTTCATTAAAGACAGTGATTTATACTGTGTTTTATATTTTATACATGTAATTGAATCTTCTTCATTCCTCATCTCAGCTGAGTTCCACTTCCTGTGTCCACACGGACAAGGGTTCTACAGCGAGCAGAGGATCCAGTACAGTCTGCCTGCATATCACGGTAAATATCAAATAATATCAACATTGCTGGTTGCTTTTATTATATTATTATTTCAGTATTACACAGTGTTGTCATCGTGCCTGAAGAGTGAGCTTGTGTTTGTTCTCTGCAGATATTGATGAGTGTTCTCTGTTTGCTGAGGAAATCTGCAAAAAGGGTCGGTGTGAAAATACGCTGCGAGGCTACGAGTGCTACTGCCAGCAGGGCTTCTACTACGACAGCAACCTGCTGGAGTGCATCGGTCAGCGCTTCTCTCAAATGTTAGGAAAGCTCAGGTTTTATAGAAAGCAGCCTGGTATGATGTTTGGTGACGTCTCTCTCTCTTTCAGACGTAAACGAATGTCATGATGAGTCACTGTGTGTGAATGGTCAGTGCGTCAACACCGAAGGAGGTTTTTATTGCATCTGTAATTGGCCCTGGACCCCAGACTCCAACAAGAAGAAGTGTGTGATGGCAACCATTGCAGGTGAGGGAGCTTTCTTCGCTGAGGCCCGGTTCACATTGCAGGATTTAAAAGTTGTTAGTCAAGTTTGACATAGATGGGGGGCGGGAGGGTGGGGGTCATCGTCAGTTCACATGGACCACACATGTGGTGATTAAAAATCACAGATATAACAGTTTTGGTCCTACATTGTGTGGTGTGTGACCACATGGCAACACTACACACTAAACAGGAACCGATTTCTCACACGAACATTCCCAGATTAGACATAAAATCTCCCAAAATCTCTTAAGATCAAACGTGACTTTGGAGTAAACAAACATGGTGGAAGAGGAGGCGGCGGAGGATTTGGAATCCTTTCGTGTCATGCAACAGGCAGCACGCTTGTTTGTACTTGAAATCAGGGCAAGACAATCCAGCATGTTGATAATCTTCGATTTGTGATCAGAGCAACAGTGATGTGCTTCCAAGCAGACCAGAATGCTCTTAACACACCACACACAACAATGATTTCTGACAGGATTATATTCAGAGACGTTAGAATAATCAGGAGCATCCTTAAAGGTGTGGAACACTGAAAAAACATTTTTACTTATTATTTCTGAACATAATCTGTCACTCAGAGTTTTCCATGCAGGCTGAACAAGAAAATAGTCTCCTACACCTATCTCGTGCATCAGCTACTGATATATAATAGACGGTGTAACTCTAGGATTTGAAATGCCTGGCAGATCTACGTCAAGCGGTCGCTTGGACTTAACTATTTAGACTCATGACAGGGAAGACTGTTGTGGTTTAGCGTCCAGAATCAGCAGAGCGCGTCTCGGCTAGCAGAAGCTAACCCTTAGCATCAGCAACCCAACCACGTGGCAGAAGCTCCTCTGGGCTTGTGTCATTTGTTGAGATAAAACATCCATCTCGCAGAGCAAACAGAGGCCGTGGTAGAGTCGTGTTGTTGTTATCCAATCAGAAGCAAGATGTTCAAATATCAGGAAAAGACTCCAAATCCTGCTGTCTGCAGCCGCTCTTTTCTACAGCAGAGTTGTCCATGCTGATCCAGGCACTTGTGGGCCTTTTTCCCCCAGAGTAAGACTTGCAAGGCATTCCTACAAGAGACAACTGCAAATGTATTGACGAAACACATTTAAGAATGTCAGAGGCAGAGAATTGGGTGAAAAATCCTCATCTTGCCATGTGAACCGGGCCCTAGCTTGATGATCTTCGCCCTGCTGCTGGAGGAATAATGTGATTTCTTCTGTTGCACAGATATGAATGAATGTAACAACCCAGAAAACTGTAAGAATGGCTTGTGTGTGAACACTGTGGGCTCGTACTACTGTATTTGTTCTCCGCCCTGGACCCTGGCCGTCGACAGAAACAGCTGTGTGACACCTGAGGAGCAGGCTGGTAAGTTCGGACTCTGCAACAGAACGGTGGCAAAAATAAGACTGATAGGAATCGTAACTAACCGATTCACTATTGTGGATCACGAGCATTGCAGAATGATGTGACTAGAGGTGATTATAATTTAAAAAGATCAACTTCTTACAAATTAGGTAAAGAGTTTTGTGGAGATGTGTGATTTTTAAGGTCAAAGTTAAAGATCTATTTCTAAGTTGCTGCTTTAGTCACTGCCATGGTTCTCTTTAGCTAAGTTTAAATAATTGTTGTCAGGTGACTGAAGCGCAAACTCTAAACAACATCTCTAAGCTGGGAACCTTGACCATAAAAGTGGTCTCAAAAGACAAAATCTACTAAATGTAACATTTATTATTGTAGTTGTGAAGCAGAGGTAAAAAGAAGGACCTCAATCTGGAAGGTTTATGTGGCCAAAATGCTGCAAAAACAACAAGTATTGTGTCATTTCTGTATAAATACCACTGATTTAAAACATGCATTTCCATTAAAAAAATAATAGAAAAACAGATAATTTCTCAGCTGCTTTTACTGTTAATGACAGTTGTCAGCTCATCCTCGGGTTTTTCGTGTTTTGTTAGTTAAAGTCTCACACAGTTAAAGGTGTGTTAAAATCATCCATGAAGTTGAGAGAATGTCCACAGAAATGGGAGAGATTTAAAGGTTGGAAACACTGAAATACCATTTCTTATTATAATCAGTCACTTTCTCTGAGTTTTTCTTGCTGGCTGAACATGAAAATAGTCTCCTTCACCTATCTCCTGCATTAACTTCTGACAGAAAATAGACGGTGAAACTCTAGATTTGAAAAGCCGGGCAGATTGCTAGTTTATGGACTCACCCATCTTGACTCATGACAGGGAAGGCTGTTGTTGGTTTAGCGTCTGGGAAACAGCAGAGAATGTCTAAGCTAGTAGAAGCTAACTGTTAGCATTAGCAACCCCACCACACAGCAGAACTTTTTCAGGCTTGTGCTATTTGTGGTAGAGTGGTAGAGTTGCATTGCTGTTATGCAATTTGAGGCAAGATGTCCAAATATCAGGAAGTAATTACTCCAAATCCTGCCATGTGAGACCCCCCCCCCCCCCCCAACACACACACACACACACACACACACACACTACAGACCACTGCACATGTATTGATCAAACGAGTATCCCACACCTTTAAGGCATATTTTATGGAAAAACATTTGATGCTCCCAACAAAAATCTCTTGTTGCAGTGAACAGAATAGATAGGCTTGTTCACATTGATAACCATCAAGGCGATGTTCAGTATGAATGAACCACCTGTGCAGCACTTATAACAAAAGGCCTGTATATTAGTGCCGTCAGACAGGAAGTCAAAAGACAGCTTTAACCCAGAGACCAAGGACTGGTTCTGGTACCAGAGGCATGCTGGCTTCTCTGAGTTCTCTGTTCATCATCTTTGGGTTCATTAGACAGAATGGATTAAAATTCTTCTGAATAATATCTATTAGGCCTAAAAGTCCAAATTCATGTCTTGTCTTTGTCATTACGGAAATCCATGTAATAAATATTAATTATTAAAAGATCAGCTGGGGCTAATGGAGTCAGAGTTTGCTGATACTATCTGGTTGGAAAAATTGTGTGAAATTTTTGGAATCAACATCTGCTTCATTAGGGTGGGAAAAGGTCAGAGCTGATGGGATCTGCAGAATATTTACAAGGAAAGAGTTCAGAAAAAGACTTCAGATGTTTGGTTTTGTCGCACAAACAGGAGTATAGATGCGCTTCTGGTTCAGGATGTAGTCTGTAGCGGTGCAGGCTAAATGCTGGTAAATACTCAGCCATAAGCCTCATGTTGGGAATCAGGGGTCTCGTTTCACACAGGCTGAGAAGGCTGAGGCTGCATTTTAATCCAAATAATCTCTGAATGATGAACTGTTTTGTTCTCCTTGTTACCATGGCGATATTGCAACGATGAAAAGTAATTAGAGCGAAACAGTGAATGGATTCTGATTATTCTAAGATTTATTGGTCAACTCTTTGCGTGCAGACCAGGAGCATCATTTCAGCTTTTGATTTAAAACAGTATAATTTAAAAATGATTCCTGGAACCAAACTTACTAATTTAATCCTGCAGAGATCAGCGTTTGATTGCTTTTAAACTCGACCAGCTGCAGCACTGTGCATGACCAGTCATGCAGTTCCTAACCAACAGCAACCACATGATGGTGCCTCTAAGCCTAAAATGTTCCCTTTTTATAGGAAATGGTGCAAAGTCCCTTTTATGTTGAAGTCATCTTACAACACCAACTATATAATGTAAAACACCTTTGCACATTCCCCTCAGCCATCATCAGATCACATTTTCACACAGTCTCATAAAACTAAAGAAAACATCCCAAAGCGAACATGTGCAGCAGGACTACTTTGTTCTGAACCACGTGAGGTGTCACACTACTTTCTGTTGTTTGTTCTGAGTCGACCGCCTGCAGAATGAGAGCGGGCCCCAGCCAGATGTTCAAACTGTAACCAGTGTCTGTGGTGCCCTTTGCAGATGTGAATGAGTGCCAGGACCCCTCGTACTGTAAGAATGGGAGGTGTGAGAACACGCCCGGCTCCTTTCACTGTTTTTGTGACCCTCCCCTTACCTTCAGTGCAGCGCTCAAACAGTGCGTCTATGACGGTGGGTAAACCTGCTTGCCTGACCGCTCACACTGAGTTTTGGCTCCCCTCCATGTCTGCCACTCATGTTGCTCCATCTTGTGTTTCGTTCAGCCTGTTCTGGCTTTACAGGAAGAGTTTGGGACCGTTTTTCTACCCGATTAAGAAGCCGATTACACCCTCATAGTTGTTTCTTGTGTGTATTTTCACCAAAGTTATTACATTATTAGTTTACTTTATTATTTTCCTATCAGTACTAGTACTATTGTAAATGCAACATGAATAAATCAGTGTTTAGATAATTACAGCGGAAACCAGGATAGTTACAGCCCAGGAGATTTGTGACTTGTAGAAGAAGGGGAATGCTAACAAGCAGCTGAGCAGCAGAAATAATGCGGCTATGCTAAATTAAAACAATATATTAGTGATTTTCCTGCTGGTTTTATAGGTGAACGGCTGTCTGGTACACATAAGAGTTATTGAATTATTATGAGCTTCAGGTGTAAGGAGCTATTTATCCATAAATGATCTAAGTTAAAGGTGATTAGAGCTATTTTTGAATCTTTGTGAAGTTTATTTCTCATCACACAGCAGGGAGGTTTAGAAATGACTTAATTTTCTCTCAAAGCTTTTTCTTCACATGTAGAACAAATAAATAATGTTCACCATGTCAGCAGATTTAGGTGCTAAATGCTGAAAATCGTCACGTTTATTTGATCCTTTGGATATGTTTGTGGTTTTGATGCTTTGACCTCCGTTAACCCCAAACCGTAACAACTCCGTAACTTTCATGATTGATCGTTTTCTTCCTATCTAAATGTTGAAACTCGGGTTTGAACATTAAATCTTTTGGACTGATTGCCTAAATTCCTCTTAGTAAGAAAAAAGGCTTCATGAGGGATCATTAACATAAGTCTCTACTGTTCCTCATCGGGGATGGTTTTCACATGAGCTGTTTTACCAGCACAAAATCGAGGTTTTGATTCAAACAGCTTGGTGGAACTCGTGTTTGTTTTTAGCCAGTTTTGCATGAGCTGCTTGTTGAATATGTCAGCGTTGATTGTTCTGTTAACAATGCGATGCATCTCTATTTGCCTCAGTGCAGCGATGCAGGTGGATCTTGTGCAGGAATATGATGTTTTTGCACGTTGCATGTACGGGTTCCCATGAAACATGATTTATTAGAAGTTTCCCAACATTTCTCAGGCTTTTCAATGAGATTATGACACAAAAATGGATTTTTATAGACTATCAATGGGTGAAGATGAGCAGCAGATCTGCAGGCAGTTACATTTTTATTATACTGGATGCACTCAGAAAAATTCTGTTCCAGCCATCACAGGCTTCCAGAACAAAATGCTTTCCATGAGTAACTTAACAGCTGTGTAAAACCTACCTGTAGGACTCCAGGTTTCTGATTATCACTGGAATGGAAGGAAGTGAGATTCTAAATTTTTAAATCTTCTCTTTTTTCTGGTCTTAGATCGCACTGCAGCACACAAAGATGTGTGTTTCGTGCAGGTTGATGAGGGTCTCATCTGCAGTCGGCCCATTGAAGTGGTGGTGACCTACTCCGAGTGCTGCTGTCACTACGGTCGCGGGTGGGGTCCCGAGTGTAACACCTGTCCACCCAGAAACTCAGGTGAGTCACCTGGAAGCACCGGTCAATCCCAGATTTTTTCACTGACCGCCACTTTGAACCTTATTTCCTGTTTTCAGAGATGTTCAGCCGTTTGTGCGAGATGCACCTAGAGACCGAGTCAGACGGCGATCAGGATTTCCAGGCAGCTTTCTCCAACTACAACCCAGGTGAACCCATGGGTAAATAAAGTCACACAGGACACCTTTCCGCTGATGTGTATTCACCTCTGTCTCTGTCTCATGTTTTGTGTTTTCGCCTGAGCAGGTGACAGTTCAGAGGAGGACTCTGACGAGTGCAGCTGTGCAAATGGCCGCTGTGTTCGCTCCTACCTGGGCACCATGTGTGAATGTAACGCAGGCTTTAGGCTTGACCACTCCCGCGCTCGCTGCATAGGTTTGTACTTGTCATGTACAGTTTTATGTTGTGTTTTAAAGCTTTAAGTGACTTGTTTTGTCTTTTCCAGACATTGATGAGTGTGCCGAACCCGCCCCTCGCGTCAACCCCTGCAAGAATGCTCGCTGTGTGAACACAAACGGATCATTCAGGTGCCTCTGCAAACATGGCTTCACGGCCACTCGCCGGCCAAATGTGTGCATGCGTCGGCGAGCTCAGTGACCTCTGCATTGCCCCGTGGGCCACTCCGATGATCCCCGGTCTGTGCAGTAAACACACTTGTTTCTTGGTGTTCAAGAGTGCAGATGTGTGAGAACTACAAACACAGAGCCACTTCGCTGCAAAGGCTCCCAAACTCTCTGCTCCCCTTTCGTTCGCCTTCTATAAAAAAATCTAATATTTGTTTTGTAATTATTGTTTTTCAAACAAGTTTATTTTTGAATTGTACATTTTTGTGATTTCTTTTATTGATCTGAAGTGACCAGAGTTCAAAACTCTGGTTGGAAGTGTGTTTTTAAAACAAAGAGTGTTTTTCTAAGATCCCTCTGGTGTTACTTCTGACTTTAACTCATCTAAAATCTGTATTTTTTTACATTCCCCTTTGAATTCAAGTGCTGTCACGTTTAGTTTTACATCATTTGAATTGCATTTACACATTGTATACATGTGTTGTTACTGTACAGTTGGTTTATTGGAGTTTCCCCATGCTTTCTGTTTGCTTGTTGATGTAAAATATGGAAGACGTGAGGTTTTTAGTTTTATTTGACACGTGCACAGATGTAGACTTAATGAACAAATTAAAAGCAGAGGATGTTGGTGCACAAAGCAGTAAATATTGGGAATATTTACACAGTGTAGCTTCTTCTGGAAAGCCAAGGAAGTTATTCTGATTGACTGCATTGACGTACTTTGAAAACTCAAAAAGGCTGATGGGAGAACAGTTGGGGATTTTTAAAGTGTTGCGTTTGTTTTTGATTGTGGATTTTGGGTTTTATATACAGCTCAAGCAGAGACACTGCGGAGTTCCCTTTCTTTTACCCAGTGCTGTGCTACATAACATAATAAAACCTTATTTTATATTTTCTGTTCTCAGATTTGAATCCAAAGTAAAGAAGAATTAAGCAGTATGTTATGAAACAAGCTGCTTATGTTATTTGGTTCTGGAAACAGACCAAGTGTATTTGAACCTTCAGTGGTGTTTCAGGTAAACTGGATGCTTTTATCTCACAAGTTTGAATAAGACACATGAAGAATTTGTCATAATTAGAGAAGTTGAAGTAAAATTTGTTCCTTTGGGTAAGAAAATGTGACACTTGAACAATTAGTGTCTGTGAGTAAAAACGGTGTGTTTGTGTGTGTGTGTGTGTGTGTGTGTGTGTGTGTGTGTGTGTGTGTGTGTGTGTGTGTGTGTCACAAAGTCTGAAGGTCGTGTTAAATGTGAAACACAGCGCCATCTTGTGTTCTACCTTTGTGCTACCACAACTGCACTTTCAAACCTCTGCCCCCATTTCAAAATGCTCTTGACCCTCTTATGGCAGCAGTAGCTCAGAGCGGGTTATCCCATAATCGGAAGGTTGTAGGTTCAAACCCAGCTCCCGCCAGAGAATGCTGCTGTTGTCATTGGGCAAGACACGTACCCTGCCTTGCCTGCTGGTGGTGGTCGGAGGGACCAATGACGCCTGTGGCAGCCTTGCTTCCGTCAGTGCGCCCCAGAGCAGCTGATGCTACATTGTAGCTCATCATCGTCAATGTGTGAATGAATGATTGTGTTGTGAAGTGCCTTGGGGGGTTGTAGAACCCCAAGAAGGTGCTATACAAATACAAGCCATTTATCTCTCACCCGTCTTGGATTGATCCTAGGATTTCCTCTTTACTGCAGCAGTATTAGATGAGGATCGCTGGACCAGAGTTGTGACTGACGTCCAAGATCATCCTGAAAAAGCAGCAGGCAGTAAAATCACTGATGGATCGATCAGTTAGAGGCCAGGTCACTGATAAAATATTAAATGGCTGTTTTTTCATGCTTGTCTTGTTGGTTTTATCCTTTTTTTGTTGTTGTTGTCTTTACTTTACTGCTGGATCCAAACTGAAGAGGAGAACTCAGAGGAAACAAACAGAACATGGATTTAAAATGTGGAGCAGAAGTGAGAAGACAGAGCAGGGAGCGAGCAGCCGACTAAATCAGACTCAAACAATCAATAACAAACAACTGACATGAGAGAGAAAAATTCCACTGAGTGATCAGAGGCAGCAGCTCTAATAACATGATTTTATTTTGTTTCTAATGTGTGAGGGTGTAAACTCTATTCAGCAGGATTTATTTATGAAACTGTTACTTTTACTCATCATCAGTTCAAATGCATTCATCTATCATATCTTACATGCACACATGAACTGGTCCAAATTCCTCCAGTAGTAAGTGCATTTTCAGACATTGCACGCCATATTAGGTATATGTTATTACAGTATGAGTCTTGGAGAGATGCACGTTGTCTGCCTACATGCAGGCTATAGTTTTGAACAAATCATGGAGAAAAAAAGTTGCACATTCATGCAACATTGCACAATTTTGTGCACAGACCCTGCACTGGTGATCCAAGTTCTTGTCCTCTGTTTAAACCTTAAAATGCATTAAAATCAACAAAGAGCAATGATTAATTTGTGTTTTGTTTAAAATATAAATTTTCACATTTTAGAGAAATAATATGTAATTTTTTTGCATGCAAGTAGAAATCTGAGGTTTAAAAATATAATAAGAGACAAATTAATTCACAAGATCTTCCATCAGAGGGAGCTGCTGGTACACGTCTAACAAAGTCTTCTCCAGCAGCAGAAAAGCAAACAGAAGGGAGAAAGTGAGCTGGAAAAGGACCTGTCTCTCATTCCTTTTATTCATCTAGGCAGGACACAGAAGGTGCGTTTGAGTTCTGCTTCCACACATTTAAAGAAAACAAAACCACTCAGACTCATCACTTCCAACCAACCCCTTAGCTTTTTCATTTCATTATTGGGCTCAGCCAATATCACAAAACTGTCTAGACGTCCTACAGACGTGGTCTGGACCGACGTACTCCATACAGACATGATCTACAGTGAGTCACGTTGAATGAGAAAGAGGCACCTCTTCTTCATGCTGTCCTGGTTTCATTCTGTCTAATAATTCTATCTTTTTAAACTGGGTGACCTCCAACAACTAGTTTAGAGAGCAATAAGAAATGGGACAGCAGAGTCAGGGGGATGAGCAAAAAGCAAAACAGAAATAGCAAAAGTTGTCCTTGGGAGACGACTATAAAAAATGGTGGTGAAGACAAAAATATCTTAAAATAGGTCACAGTGACCGGAGTATAACCCAGCAGGATCTGCTGGTGTCTGCAGACAGCTGCTACTGAACTTTGTGTTAGTCAAAGACAACGTTGGCTCTGAAAGGTGACAAAGCAGACAACCGCTCGGAAAGAAAACAGCACATTTAACAATGATGAAGCTTTAATAACATTTACAGTCAGATCAGGATGATGTCATCATCGGTTTTGATACAACTGCAGAGTCTGATTTATTCTAGAGGGCGTGGAAACAGATGTCTCAAGATGTCTATTTTTGTGATGAAAAGTAAAAATGACAAATTTGACAACTTTTTTTCTAAATGAAACCCTAATATCACAGAATGCATGGTTATGTTTTTCAGATGTTACAGGATCAATAACTGTGGTTTGAATGGAAGTCAATGGGACGTTTTTGTCCTTAAAAAGCACAAGAGGGAGGTAAATTTTAAATCTGCTGCAAAAAATAAAATAAAGCAAAAACTGGATATTTTGTCACATTCTTGACTTATCCAAGGCTGATTTAAAAAAATATATATTTTAGTCATCCAAAATATGCTTTATGTAAAATATCTCCTTTTTTGTATCTTTTTTTTCATTATAAATTAGCATCACATAATCAAGCTGGTATAAAATTTGTATAACAATTCAATATTTGATTGTTTTGATCAGAACTGAAGCAGATCACAAGATTTAAGCCCAAAAAGGCAGAAAAAATATTAATCTTCGTCTTCGTCTTCCTCCGCTTATCCGGGTCCGGGTCGCGGGGGCAGCATACCAATTAGGGAGCTCCAGGCCGTCCTCTCCCCGGCCTTGTCCACCAGCTCCTCCGGCAGGACCCCAAGGTGTTCCCGGACCAGATTGGAGATGTAACCTCTCCAACGTGTCCTGGGTCGACCTGGGGGCCTTCTGCCGGCAGGACATGCCCGAAACACCTCCCCGGGGAGGCGTCCAGGAGGCATCCTGACCAGATGCCCAAACCACCTCAACTGGCTCCTTTCGATCCGGAGGAGCAGCGGTTCTACTCCGAGTCCCTCCCGAATGTCCGAGCTCCTCACCCTATCTCTAAGGCTGAGCCCGGCCACCCTACGGAGGAAACTCATTTCGGCCGCTTGTATCCGCGATCTCGTTCTTTCGGTCATTACCCAAAGCTCATGACCATAGGTGAGGATTGGGACGTAGATCGACCGGTAAATCGAGAGCCTGGCTTTCTGGCTCAGCTCCCTCTTCCCCACGACAGATCGGCTCAGTGTCCGCATCACTGCAGACGCCGAACCAATCCGCCTGTCGATCTCCCGATCCCTCCTACCCTCACTCGTGAACAAGACCCCGAGATACTTAAACTCCTTCACTTGAGGTAGGACCTCTCCCCCGACCCGGAGGTGGCAAGCCACCCTTTTCCGGTCGAGAACCATGGTCTCAGATTTGGAGGTGCTGATCCTCATCCCAGCCGCTTCACATTCGGCCGCGAACCTACCCAGCAAGAGCTGAAGGTCAGAGCTGGATGAAGCTAGGAGGACCACATCATCCGCAAAAAGCAGAGACGAGATTCTCCTGCTACCAAACTCGACACACTCCACACCACGGCTGCGTCTAGAAATTCTGTCCATAAAAGTGATGAACAGAACCGGTGACAAAGGGCAGCCCTGGCGGAGTCCAACCCTCACTGGGAACAGGTCCGACTTACTACCGGCTATGCGGACCAAACTCACGCTCCTCTGGTAAAGGGACTGAATGGCCCTTAACAGAAAGCCACCCACCCCATACTCCTGGAGCGTCCCCCACAGGGTGCCCCTGGGGACACGGTCATAAGCCTTCTCCAAATCCACAAAGCACATGTGGATTGGTTGGGCAAACTCCCATGCCCCCTCCATCACCCTTGCAAGGGTATAGAGCTGGTCCACAGTTCCACGGCCAGGACGAAAACCACATTGCTCCTCCTCTATCTGAGATTCAACTATCGATCGGACCCTCCTCTCCAGTACCTTGGCGTAGACCTTTCCAGGGAGGCTGAGGAGTGTGATCCCCCTATAGTTGGAACACACCCTCAGGTCACCCTTCTTAAAGATGGGGACCACCACCCCGGTCTGCCACTCCCTAGGAACTGCCCCCGATGACCACGCAATGTTGTAGAGACGTGTCAACCATGACAGCCCTACAACATCCATAGCCTTGAGATACCCAGGACGAACCTCATCCGCCCCCGGGGCTCCGCCGCTGTGTAGTTGTTTGACTACCTCAGCAACTTCTGCCCCCGAGATCGGACAGTCCATCCCCAGGCTTCCCAGCTCTGGTTCCTCCTCGGAATGCGCATTGGTGGGATTGAGGAGCTCCTCAAAGTATTCCTTCCACCGTCCGACTATAGCCTCAGTTGACGTCAGCAGCTCCCCATCCCCACTGTAAACAGTGTGAGCGAGTTGCTGCCTTCCTCTCCTGAGGCGCCGGACAGTTTGCCAGAACCTCTTTGGAGCCGATCGATAGTCTTTCTCCATGGCCTCACCAAACTCCTCCCACGCCCGAGATTTTGCCTCGGCAACTGCCACTCCTGCACCCCGCTTGGCTATCCGGTACCTGTCTGCTGCCTCCGGAGACCCACAGACCAGCCACGCCCTGTAGGCCTCCTTCTTCAGCCTGACGGCTCCCCGAACCTCTGGTGTCCACCAGCGGGTACGGGGGTTGCCACCACGACTGGCACCGGCCACCTTACGACCACAGCTAGCAACAGCCGCCTCGACAATCGCAGAGTGGAACAAGGCCCACTCGGACTCAATGTCCCCCACTGCTCTCGGGACGTGGTCAAAGCTCTGCCGGAGGTGGGAGTTGAAGACCGTCTTGACAGGTTCTTCTGCCAGGCGTTCCCAGCAGACCCTCACTATGCGTTTGGGTCTGCCAGGTCTACGCGGCATGTTCCCTTGCCATCTGATCCAACTCACCACCAGGTGGTGATCAGTTGACAGCTCCGCCCCTCTCTTCACTCGGGTGTCCAAAACATACGGCCGCAGGTCAGATGATACGACTACAAAATCTATCATCGACCTGTATAATTTTTT